TTCGAGTCTCAGTGACCACTTAGAATCAGAGCATGGCGCACACGGGTGTCATGAACTCACGGCAGAGCTTGGATTCTGCTTAAAGCAAAACTGTATCTCATATTCTATCACCGACTTGCTTTCTCCTCTACTTTTTGAAAATTCAACCACAGACCAAAATTTTATTACTCTAATAAAAAGTTAGGGTACTTAGATTATGGTGACTAAAATGAATCCCAAGACTTTTTAAAAAAAAAGAAAACAACAAATTGGCCTGGCTGGTGTGGCTCAGTGGTCGAGCGTTGACCATGCACCAGGAGGTCACCAGTTCGATTCCCGGTCAGGGCACATGCCCAGGTTGTGGGCCCGATCCCCAGTGGGGGGCATGCAGGAGGCGGCCAATTGATGTTCTCTCTCATCGATGTTTCTATCTCTTTGCCTCTCCCTTCCTCTCTCTCTGAAATCAATAAAGAAAAAATATTAAAAAAACAAATTGGAAAATATGAATTACTCTTTTTAACGTAGGTTTTTGAAAATAACACATACAGCCCTGGCCGGTTTGGCTCAGCGGTTAGAGCGTCGGCCTGCGGTCCGGAGAGACCCGGGTTCAGTTCCCGCTAAGGGCACGTACTTCGGTTGCAGTTTGTCCCCAGCCCTGGTTGGTCGTGCGGTGGCAGCCATTCGATGTGTCCCTTTCACATCTATGTTTCTCTCTCTATCTCTTCCTCTCTCTCCCTCCCACTCTATCTGTACAAAAAATGGAAAAATGTCCTCGGGTGAGGATAAAAAAGGAAAATAACACATACAGAAATTTGACAGCAATTCTCAGCACTAAACTCCTGTTTTCAACTGTACAAGCTCCTTAATTTAGATACTTCAGAGCCGTAGGGGAAAAGGTAGACTCCACTTACAGTCAGACTGAATCCTTCCAATTAAGCATCAAGTGCATCCGTGTCACTGCACCTGAGTGTGGAGACAGAGCTGCTGATTGGTGTCTATGTCATGACCTCTCTCTCCCTCTCAGTTAACAAGTCCTGAAGTTAACCTTATCTTGTCACATTTTGTAAAATGTTAGTTTACATCTATTTCACAACAGCTATTGTTCGACTTTCAGGAAATGTGCAGCTTCAGCTGTGAGGTGGCAGTTGTGAAGACAGTTCACAAATACAAACAGGACAGGGACTTAGACCCTTCACTATGGGAAATGAGATGCCAGCCTCAAACCAGGTACGCAGTCACTGGCTCTAAACCCGAACCAGATGGAAGTGAAGGCACCCGGCACGATTGGCTGTGTCGGGAGCGTCCTCCTGGCCAGAGGTGCTGACGGCAGGGGTGACTGAGGACCGGCGGTTGGGAGCGTGCCCGCCGCGTTCTTTCCCGTTGAAGAGCCCGAGCGCAGCTGCACACACTGGGCGGCCAGCAGGCCCATCAGCCCTCAGCTTCCCTGATGTACGCAAGAAATTAAGCAAGACCTGCAAGGTATTCAGACAGGCACAGTCATGCACAAACCAGCCTTCGTTAACGCCAGTCTACGATGCTGGGGCTGAAGCCTCCGGTCAGGAAAACTGGGGCGCAGATACCTGTGGACGTTAGGAAATGGAGGGGACGGGGAAAGGAAACGTCTGACGACGTTTACCTCGCTGTGGCATGACACCCAGACAACGGGCACCGCATGGTAAGCCTGAGGCGCGGCGAGGTCGCCGCATTAACACGGGTGCAGCCGCCCAGCTGGTGTGGCTCCGGGTCGGGGCACATGCCCCGGGTGCAGGCTCGATACCTAGCAGGGGCCTGCAAGAGGCGGCCGGTCGACGTTTCTCTCTCACGTCGATGTTTCTCTCTCCCTAAAAAGTCAATAAAAACATTTTTTTTTTTTAAAAAAAGGATGTAGCTCACAAAGAAATACTTCAGTAATATTAAGTCCAGTAAGTCGTTATGTTACACAGGTATGGATTCAATAAAATAGTACAGTGGTTCCCCCTTATCTGCAGGGGATACGCTCCAAGACCCCAGTGGATGCCCGAAACTAAAAATAGTACCAAACCCTATACACTGTTTTTTCCTGTACGTACACACACACATATGCATATGTACATGCATACACACACATACACTTAATGGCTTCTCTTTGCCATGTCTCAATTGCCAGTATCACCACTCTTATACTTTGGGGCTTTTATGAAGTAAAATAAGGGTGACGTGAACAGAAGCACGGGGCTCTGAGAGCCAAGAAGGCCACGAAGTGACTGAAGGTGGGTCATGCACATGACGTGGCGACGCTGGAGCAAGGGTGACTCAGCTGAGCAGGACAGCGTATTTCATCACGCTGCTCAGCGTGGCATGCAGCTCACAACACATACCCTGCTTACTTCTGGAATTTTCCATGGTCTACATTTCTGGACTGTGGTTGACCACAGATAACTAAAACCACAGAAGCAAGACTGTGGATAAGGGGGGACTCCTATAACCCATCCCGAGAGGAGCGGGCTCCCACAAAGTTCACTTTCTTGGATGAGTAAAGCTTATCAACACATCAAGCGAAAACCACCCTTCATTCAGGAGCTCCTGTTCTATTCTGTGGGATTTAAACGACACATCGAGAAGAACTGTAAGTTCCCATCTGCACACATTTTCAACTCTGTCAATTAAGCGGTTCTAGGAACAGTGAAAATTCAGCCCGTCACCACCGAAGAGCGAGGATACGGACGGCCTCCGAAAGGCCAGGTCTGGAAACCTGCTGCTACAGAGGAAACCTCTCCGTGGGGTCTGCCTCTGGCTGCAAGAGCAGCAAGTGCTGTCTGCTTGAACATTTTTACACGCCCCTGCTTCCTAACCACATATTCATCTACTCTAGCACCTCTTGATTTCAGAACAAGGCAGGTCACCCAGGGTGGTCTCCACCAGTTAATTAATTTACATTCTAAAAGTCTCACCACGGCACACCGCTGTCTGGTATCCATACTCTCCTCGCCCAACAGCACAGTCTCATACTCTTCTACATCAGAATCGGAATTCTCTCCACGCTCTCACAACCACGTGAACGCCCGGCCACTGGGCCTGCTTTGGAATGTGACTTGCAACTGGAACTGAGACCTGACACTGAACTTCTGGCAGGACTACTGTTTCCTTCAAATTCAGTGAGAGGAGGTGAAGAAAGCTACACTCACACAGGGAGGTTGAGACACACAGGGGACTTCTGCTAAAAGTACTCTCATCTTCCTTTTATGCAACGGTGGCTTCTAGTGTAAGGGGCAGAAATAAGGAATACATGTTCTGAGTTCACATACTAACACGGCTTTCACTTCTTATATGAAAGGAAAAGAGTATGAGTTAAAAAATAAGTCAGTAAAGTGAAGGAAGTTACATTTGGCCCCGACCACAATGAACACTCAGCACATCATTTCTTACTTAGACTGATGAATGTCAGATGCTGCCATTTATTATGGTCCAGACACTTCTGCTCCCTGTTGTGGAGCATGGAACGTCCTGGCACAGAGCAGTTCCTCAGCCTCAGGACTGCTGGCACTTTAGGTCAGACAACAACTCCGTGCCGCGCGGGCTGTCCCGCCGTTCAGCACACCCAGCAGCGCCCCCCACCTCCACTCCCCAGATGTCAGCGGCATCCTCCCCACTGGGCTGTGACAACCACAACCGGCTCCAGACGTTCCCAACGTCCCCTAGCAGGGGGATCACCCCAGGCTGTGAACTAGAACAAACATAAACTAGCCACACAGTGAGGCTGAAACTTCCTCAGTCTTTTCAGTAACATTTCACATAGCTGCACATTTCAAACCCTCGTGTCTGAACAGAATTCAATTTCAGTGAAGAGCAACACCAAAAGCCCGATTTCAGTGTTATGTGGAACTAACATGCTTTAACTTCCAATCTCTTAACGTCACACAAACTTTAGATTTAATCTTTTAATTTAGAAAGCTTGTATTTGAAATTTTGATGTTTAGATTTATAATAAAAATGAATCCTCATATCTGCCCCCAGGCCTGAGCCTCATGGCCACTGGGGAAGGCGGTCTCTGCTGGTTTCAACAGACGTACTCACAGAAAATCTCAGGTCTGCTGGGGGCGGGGGAGGGGCCTGGTCTGCGGCAGAGCTTGGCTCTGGCCCAGCCGCATTCCTGGCCTGGCCCCTTGCCACAATGTCCAGTATCTGACATGAGTCACTGCGAGAGGGCTTCTCCTGGGGTGTGTCCTTCTTCTTAGACCCCCTGGATCTTCCTTTTATTTGAATGGTTCATCAACACTAATTTTTTAAAAGCTGCTTTTGCATTTTAACTACTAGTTTTGTCTTGTTGTATATGGTTTTGTTAAAAAAAAAAAATTTTATTTTTTTTATTGTTTTAGAGACTGTCCTGAAATGGACGCATACCTATTAATTCATTTGATCAAAATTCGCCACAGGATGTGAAGTCCTAAATCACAAGTAGTCAGAACCTTCCTGTGTATCCATATCGCCACAGACACGTTTGCATTCCGGAACATGGATGCTGACTTTGCCAGCGGTCTGCCCTTCGGCCTTGCACACACCTCTCTACCTGATGCAAAGCCGTAATTACAGAGAATGAGAACGTGGACACAAATATTATTCACGTACACGTTCTACCTCCTTTTTTAACGTCTCCCGAGAGGACAGAGCCAAATTATTAGGTTTCTTCCTCCAAGTTCCATGGAGACAATACTTGGTCCTGTTAGGTCTTGCACGTAAGTCTACTCGAGTTTAAAGATAGTTGTTAAAGTTTTTTTATATTTGTCTCACAGTCCTCTAAGTTCTGGAATAATCACGGTTCCGTTATCATCCTCTAATTCAGACGCGAGAAAACCAGTGAAGGCCAGTCTGCAGACTGCCTGCTCCAGGTTAGGTGCCTCTCATGTACCCAGAGGGAAAAGAGCGTGTGTACGCAACGGTATTTCCCAAAGTGCACAGCAGAGTGCTCATGGGATGCTGTGTCCCAGGCACAAGCAACTCTGTCCCCCAGGAGAGAGCCAGATACGAAGGGAACGGACACTGACCGTCGAAACTGCCTTGCTCCGCAGCGACGCGCAGCAGCTGGCCGTACGTCTCCACTGAAGGCCGGTACACGAAGACCCCGGAATTGAAGCAGTCGGGCCACCCTGGGTCTGGGGCCGCCGACAACTCTTCTCTCTCAAAAAGATCATCGATATTTGCTAGGACCTGATTCAAAGAGGAGGGAGCAAAGCATTAGAGGAATGTCCCGAGCTCCCCCTGCGCCGTCATCACAAAGGGTGCAGTCTGCGCTGGTCAGAACCGTCCAGATAACAGCTGCTCTCCCTCATCACCCCACACTTGTTGTATCTGAACTTGACTGTCAAGTCCTGGCCGCGTCCCTCCGGCGCCCAGCTGGTCACGGCTACCATGTCCATCCTTTAGCCATCAGAGCCACTCACCAGAGTATCTGCATCCATGAACACACACTTGGAATACTGTGTGAGTGACCAGCAGTGGAGTTTAGTTAACGTAACGCCCAACTCAGGCCTCTCCAGCAAGGTCAGATGCGCAGAATCGCCACTGTCCAGAACGTCGACCAGGATGACTTCGTCAAAGACAGTCTCTAACACCTTCCTGTCAAAATAAAATTCAAAACCGGCACTTGGCATCTGTTCAGAACCAGTGACATCTAACGTAAGACTGCATTCTTATGAACCTACCCATGCGTTAGCAGAACAAGCTGTTACCTTGGCACAGAACAATCTCTGAGTTATGTCCTAATTTACTCCAGGACAAATTAGGCTGATTTGCATGGGCAGCTAACTTCACCAAAAGAACACAAAGCTGAATAAAGTTGTGGCGAGAGTACAGCCCTTATTTTCAACCGTGGTATCTCATTCGAACGGATTCCTCCTGATGCCACAGGTGTTCACAAGTGATGCTGAATCAGCACATGGACTGTCTGCAATGAAGCCTGTCACTAACCATTTCTGCTCAAGAACTTGACAGAGAACTACCGGAATTCGTGTGTCCCAAAGAAGTGAAAGGGCTCAGTTTAACCGGCATCTGTGTGAGCCTGGCACTCCTGGCAAAGAGATCACTTCGGGTTGTAAAATACAACACCGCTCCATGCCCCAAGTTAACTAGAGGTTTGTTTCAGAAAGCCACCCTGAGGTCAGGGGAGTATACTTAGGTAAGACACTAAACTCAGCCTAAGTTAAAACATTTGCTAAAGACAGATCATCGCTGAACGTTTATCATCTCAGACAAGGAGGACAAAACTTCTACGTTCCAGCTCGCACAGTACACTTGATCTTTTTGGGAAGAAATGGCCGATGTCACCATTAACCTTAGTAAAGGTGCGTGGGGGGGGGGGTTAGCAGGGAAATGTGGGGATGGGGTGGGGGAGAGCAAGGAAACTATGAGTACATCTGTCTTCTTATAGACATCCTCACTAAACATTCTACAAATTAGGACATACACAGTAGGAGATACACTTTTTAAAATATCTTCACCCAAGGATATGTGTTTGTTTTTTTCTTTAATTTGATTTTTAGAGTGAGGAGAAACGTTAATGTGAAAGAGAAAAATCAATCGGTTGCCTCCTATACACACCCCAACCAGGGACTGAACCCGCAATCTAGGTATGTGCCCTGATTGGGAATCAAACCTGCAACCTTCTGGTGTACAGGGTGATAATCCAATCAACTGAGCCTCCTGACCAGGGCTAGGAGATAAAGTTTCTGGCATTTTCCTAAATTACCCTTTAGAAACAAGGTTGCTTGTGCACATATATGTATGTAGAGAGAGCTATATACATATGTATTCTCCTTTTCAGAGGTCCTTGGCATGTGCTCACATCTTGGAAAAAGTCACAAAAAAGGTGTTTTCAAATCTAAGAGGGATAAAAAGAATGCAAAAATAAACCCAATCGTAGCTGCTAGTGTGCCCAGATACTTTTAAAGTTGGTATTAGGAACTAGGTAGTTCATTCAAATTCTTCAAAATTTAATTCCAACGAATCAAAGTGAACTAACCCAATGGACATGCAGCTAGTGCCCTTCAGGGTACTCTCCTAGCACAATCCCAAATTCAGAAAGAGCTTTGGCAAATATACTAATCCATTCGTTCGTAAATAAAGATCTTTAAGGTTACAAATGTCAACTGGCAGTAGAGAAAACTGCTATTTTCTTTATTGAAAAAAATTTATTTATCTTTATTGTTGAAAGTATTACAGATGTTCCCCCTTTTTGCCCCACTGACCCCCTCCTGCCCGCTCCCCTCCCCCCCCCCCCCCCCCCCCCCCCCGCCTTCCCCACATTGTCTGTGCCCACTGGTTATACAAATATGCACACAAGTTCTTTGGTTTATCTCTTCCCACCCCCCATCCCCCTTCCTGCTATTTCCTTTCAAAGTCACCTGAGGTTTCCCTGGTTTGAAACAGGAAACCGAGCAGCCCCCGCTGCATTTCGGGAAAGGAGAGCATGTGCAGTGTGACCACAGGAAGGGACCGCCTAGACGGAACCCACACAGACCACCGAGAGGACTTGCTAAGGGACAGTCCGTTCCTCTTAGAAGCAGCGAGAGCAGGGGGCAGACCACCACAGCACAGGGGGGCTTGGGTGGAACAGCTCCCGAAAGCTAGACAGAGGTCTCAGACCCTGGACTCCTTCCTTCAGCAACTCGTCTTTCTCCCCCAGCGCTCCACCCCTGAAGAGGGTATAGCTCAGTGCCCACTGGTGCCAGAATGGGAGGGATGTCCACGCTCCACACTGGCAGGGAGTCCTCACCTCATGGAGTCCGAGACCTGTGGGGTGGTGAGCACCGCCAGCCTCCGGGTGGTCCTGTGCTGTTTCAGAGATGAGCCTAGCACCAGGGCGCCTTTGGCGTAGGAATCATTTGTGGTCAGTGTCACAAAGGCCTGATCTTAATACAAAGAAAAAAAACAAGACAACACATTACAATGTCCTACCTTGAAAGAGCTACCCCAGGTCCCTTTGTAACCAATAAATTGGCAAAAATCAGCTCCTCTCTGTCTGCCCTAATTTAGAATCCAGACAAGCTAAATACTCAGACTAGCTTAACACTCAGAGGCTGAACCTGAGGCAATTAACAGGCGGCAATGAAGACATCAAGAGGCGCAATTTCTATTTCTCCCACAGGGCACCACGACAATGTTTTCAGCCAAGTGCAAACCCAATGAGCAACCCCAATCGCAAGCGTCTGAGGCAGAGGCCACAGTCTTCATCCTGGTGCTCACATTTCTGCCAAGCCCTGGGCTTCTGATACCAGTTTCTCAACCTTGAGCAAAGGCCACCCACCACCCCTCAAAGTCACTGTGAGCGTCTGCTCAAATGTCACCTCCTCAGGACTTGCCTCCTAAACGCTTCTATCTAAATAGTGGCCAATCGCTGTCCAATGGACTTGGGAATCACCCCACAAGCTCTAAGGGATATGCCTTGTTTTCCTTGGAGAAACAAGCGGTACCTACCCCCCACCCTGCCCCCTAACATTTCACGCGAATTCTCTCTCTCACCTGTCTCCAATAATCGCTTAATTGCCAGGACCAAAGGCAAACTGAATTATTATTCTTCCTGCTGGACAAACCACCCTGCCAAGACCACCAGCCCCACTGTTAGGATTTCCCATCCTTCCCTGGCATTATTCTGGGGCACACTCTGTTTCTGAGGGCGTTTTAACATAAATCGGTGGGCATCCAAGTGTAGAGGATACTGAGGATCAAGCTCTGGCAGGGGTCACTTGGGGTCACAGGGAGTTGGGACATTTTGTTGCAAAGTCACTGTCTTAGGTTTCCTCATTCTCCCTTTGCCCATTTTCCAGCGTGGAGGCAGCGGGATTTCCACTGGGGGGTGACAGGAAAGTGGAGGCTGTCAGCTGGGCCAGTGGGCCCCCAGCCTGACCTGAGGGCCAGGTTCACACACAGGGTGGGGCTTTCTTCCCGGCAAGCCCACTCCTCGGTTGCAGAGACGGTGTTCCCCACCCCTGGGGGGCCACCAGCTCCCCGGCCCGGGACACCTGTCACCTGACAAGCCCGTCGCCCTCTGTGCTGGCTCCAACCATGTCAGTCCGCCCCAAGGGTCCTAACGTGGGGCAGGACGGGTGTTTCCGCTCCAAGCGTGCGGACTCCGAGGTCGGGAAGACAAGTTTGGGGAGTGAAGCGGGGTTCCAGGGCTGGGGAGCAGGGTGATGCTCTCCAGGCTGCGGCACGGGACGGGACCCCGGTCCTCGCAAACCGGGCCGGGTCGGCCCCACGCAGGGGCGGGGCGCGGTCCCTTCCCCGACGGGCCCCACCTGCCGTGTCCTCGCAGGTCCGGGGAAAGGAACCCCGCGAGCCTCCGCGGCCCCGGGGAGGGGGGTTACCTGGGCCTCCGTCCCGCGGCAGACGGCCCGCGGCCCCGGCTCCCGGCAACAAGTGGGCCGGCGCCCTCCCGCCCGGCCCCGGCTTCCCGACGCCCGGCCCGGAGGCCTAAAAATAGGCTCGGCCTGACCGCCAGCGCCGGGCGGCCACCAGGAGGGAGCGGCGGGCCCGCGTCCCCGCCGCGGAGGGGCCACCCGCGGGCGGGAGGGCGGCTCCCCAGGCCGCTGCCCCGGGAGGGACAGGAGCCGGGCCGGCCCCACCCCCCGGCCCGCAGCGGCTCCGCCGGCGGCCTCCCGAGCGCGGGGAAGGGCGCGGAAGCGGGGCCGGGGCTCCGCGGGCCCCGCTCGGCCCCACAGCGCGTCCCCGGGCGGCGGGCGCCGCTGACGCAGGAAACGCCCCGCCCGGCTGCAGCCTCCGCAGCTCGGCGCGGTCCCCCCGCCGGGGACTCGCGGGGCGCGGGCGGGGGCGGCGCCTACCTGCCATGGTGCCCGGGGGCCGCAGGTAGGTGCAGGGAGACGCCGGGCGCGCGGGGAGCGCGGCCAGGAGGAGGCGCGGCGGGAGCGGAGCGTGCGCCCCGAGCGCTCTTATAGCGGCCGTCACGTGGCCGCGCACGCTCCCGGGCCCGCAGGCAGCCGGCCGCGGCCGGCCCGGGGAGGGCGCCCTGCGGCTGCGGGACCGCGCCCCCCTCCCAGTCCCCCCCCCCCGCCCCCGCACCCCCCCCGCCCCCGCACCCCCCCCGCCCCCGCACCCCCCCCCCCCGCCCAGTCCCCCGCCCCGCCCCCGCCCCCTGCCCCACCCGCCACGCCCTCGCGCCCCCGCCCTCGCCCTCCTGCGCCCCCCTGCCCCGCCCCCCTCGGGTCCCGTGCCCTCCGTCCCCCTCGCGGCCGCTGCGTCCTCCGCCCCGCCCCCGCCCCCTCGCGCCCCCGCCCCCTCGCGCCCCCGCCCTCCTGCGCCCTCCGCCCCTGGGCTCAGGCTGCGGGGCCCATGGTCGCACCTTCCGCGGGGCACCTGCCTGGGGCCGCGCCCCCCCAGAGCCGGGGTTTGGGTGGCGACTTGCGGGTGGCAGCAGCTGGATCAACTCCCAAGGAAGCCGAGGGCCAGGGGAACTAAAACACCAAACAGACGGACAAATCCCGAATCACTCTAGTGACAGCAGTTCACCTGAATGACCTCGAAGTTGAATGCCGCTCTTTCCATCCAGGATCCCAACTCAGCCCCTGGAAGCGTTTCTTACTGTTCTCGCAATGGTTCTGTGGCTCTGGCAGAAAAGCGGGTTGAATTTTAAGTGGATTCCTTAGATTCCTGGGGCCCTCTACCTCAATGACATATTTAAGTGTTTGCTGAATCCTCGTAGAACTCACTGAAGTAGATGCTATATCCTTATTTTTACAGATGAGAACAGAGCCAGAACAATTATCTGGTCCGCTCAGGTCAGTGGAAAAGGTTGAATTTGAACGGTGGCAGTTTGGTTACAGAACGGACCTGCCCACTGGCAAGACTGAGACATCTCTGGACACTGGTGTCCTAAGGAGGTTAGTGAAGGCTGGTCACTGTGGTTGGGTAATGTACATTTTAGGTTAATTTATTTCACAAATCATAGGATGGTGAATCTGTCTTTCCCCCCAGGAAGTTGAGAAATAGCTCTCTAATGTGATCACACCCTGCTCTCGCATCGCCCAGAGGCACCGGGAGCAGCCAGTAGTTCACTTCTCCACAAACCCTAGTTGCTCAGTAAATGCTGAATGGAAGCCAAACAGGAAATTGACAACATCAGGAAATAGCCCCAGCCCTTGTGGCTCAGTGGTTGAGCGTTGACCCATGCAGCAAGAGGTCACCAGTTCGATTCCTGGTCAGGGCACATGCCCAGGTTGTGGGCCTGGTCCCCAGCGGGGGGCATGCAGGAGGCAGCAGGTAGATGTTCTCTCTCATCGATGTTTCCATCTCTCTCTCTCTCCCTCTCCCTTCCTCTCTCCCTCAAATCAATAAAGAAAAAACAAAACAAAACATGAAATAGGTGCTTAAGAATAAGTGATTTATCGCAAAGACAGTATTGCTGGTCTCAAACCAATTGTATCACTGTTTCCTACATCAAAATTGCTTGGGGCACCTTCTAAAATGCAAAAAAATTTGGTCTGAAGCTCAAACCTCTTGAATCAGAATCTTAAGGAACCCAAGAATCATCAGTATTTTAAATATCACTCCCCAGGAGACTGTCTTGTCCTTCCTTCCCTTTCCTCCCGACGACTCCACCATAACATGGGGAACACTGATTTATTTGGGAAGACCTCCTGGTTACTTGGATTATAAACCACCTTTGCAGGAAGTGGGAATGTGAGGGCAAAGATGCAATGGATGGGATTCCACTTATTCAACCCCAAAGGCTTCGAGAGTTGGAGCTCTGCAAGGAACATCAGGGCTGTGCTTGAATGGTACCTGCCTGGAGAGAAGGAAGGTGCCTCCAGGTCTGATTTGCTCCTTTTAGGTGGACCTGGAAGAATAAGGTTTCCATCTTTCACCCAGGAGCCCTCTTTGCCATCAGTGACCCTTAACCACCTGCTACTCGAAGCCTAAGTGCCAGGGCTGGACTTCCACAGGGTGTGGTGCTGGAGTCAAAAGGTCAAAGCTAAGAGGTGAAGACAGCCTGGACAGCAGAAGCTTCCCTTAGGAACAAGGTCCTGTCTTTTCCACGCCCAGAGTGTTTGAATAAAAGCAGTTGACACAGCCTTCTGGAATGCCCGTGTTTCATGCATATTCACAGAAACAAAAAGGTTATAGCTTTTACCACTTTGAATCAATTAAGAACATTTTGGGGTTGCTACAGTCTACTCTTACGGGTTGTCTTTTTTTCCTTTTTTTTTTTTTTTTAGTGTATTTTGTTTTTATTTTCAGGACAGTTGAGTATGCTTATAATATTTTTAACTAAATAAAATAGGTTGGACTATCACAAATAACATATTGAAATGCCAACCCAAATTGAAGTGCAGTGATTCTGTTACATGTTTAATAATTGAACAGAAGACTGGCATTATTTTCCAAAGAATCATGTCAGAGAACATGAATGAATTGTAGAAACCGATTCACGAATAGTGGTCTTATCAGAGCACGTGAATCAGCAATGTTTAGGCAAAAGATTCTGTTCCCTAACTTTTCATAATATCTTATAATATCGCCATCTTTCATTAATCCATAACCAGACAGAAAATCTTATGGATGACTGGGAACCAAGAGGAAGATGAAAACTTGTAATCTAAAGCTTTCTAACAGAAAATAAATTCAAATAACTTTAAAGCATATTGTTCAGAAGTCTTTACAGGAAGACGTATACGCTGTGCAGCACTATATCCCCCCCCTCCCTTTATTTTAGAGAGAGAGGAAGTAAGAGGGCGAGAGAGATAGAAATATCAGAAAGAGAGAACATCGACTGGCCGCCTCCTGCATTCCCCCCACTGGGGATCGGGCCCACAACCTGGGCATGTGTCCTGACTGGGAATCGAACCGGCGACCCCCTGGTGCATGGGTCGATGCTCAACCACTGAGCCACACCAGCCGGGCTCAACTTGGTTTTTAAATGAAATTTACCAATACTACCAGTAGGGCAGATGTGAGATATCTATCAAGTAAATGCAAAAGAGAATCAATGCACTCATAACAATATATTACGAAAGATTCATATTGAAACTAAAATATTTGGGTTTCAGAAACAGAAATAAAAACATTCTACTCTAAATTGGAAAAATTGTCTTGATGTCAAGTGCCAAGTAATAATAATTATACATGATTGCCAAAATCTGAATATTCTCCTATATTTCTTACATTATCATTTTTTATTCGTCGTCTTCATTTCATATTCCCTGTCTGAGTGAATTACGTACCACCCATCCAGGAGCTTGATCGTCACGTCTAGGAATCATCTTACATGTTGTCTTAATCGACATTACCAGCAGTGACCCACTGCCCAGTGCTCCTGAGCCTGCTCTCCATTGAGCTCCAGTTAGGTATAAGAGCAAGGTCTCTGAAAATGTAATGCACACAGCTTGCCTGCGGAATCTTGTTAAAATGCAGGTTTTCGGGGGTGGACCCTCAGGTGATGCCCAGGCTGTGGACCAACTTTGAATAGTGAGGTGTTCGAACATTCTGGATTTTAAGGCTTCGAAAATAGTGGATAGACATACATGTTGTAGTGAGACAAACGTTTGAGACATTCATTTTCCCCATGAAATTGGAACTATCAGAATTTCTGAGTCTAAAAAAGAAAAGATTGATGTTAAAAACAAACAACTCTACATGAGTACATATAACTATTAACCCTTTAAACCTGTGCTAAATGGGTATATTCAGCACGGTTGGTCCCAAATTAATTTTTAATTGGCGTTGGAATGCATTATGTAATTTTTTGGCAGGGTACTTACCTCCCTAATCGTGGCTTGTTTAGGATAGTGCTGAAATCAGTTTGCATTCCCTTGAGCACACTCGCTAATGGACGGGGGAGCAACTGACCTGGAAAAGATTCCAGAGCCCAGGGCAACCTGCCGCCGAAGACACAACCAGTTCCCACGGACAGTTCCTGAAACAGGTGAAACACATCTGGCCAGACACAGGACCTAACTAGTTCACTAATGACTTAAAAGTTTACTCTTAATTGATAATACACAAAATCTGTACCCATAATGGTTCCCAGGGATCACAGCCCTGTCCAACCTAATCAGAAGTTTAGTTTCAAGAAATACTATCCTGGGAGGCCTAACGTAGCTCATTCTTCCATTGACTCACAAGCTCCACAAATAGCCTGGTGACTAGTTATATTGCCTTAAAAATATTTATTGAGACATAATTAACATACCTTAAAATTCACACATTTAAAGTATACCATTAAATGCTCTGTAGTACGTTCACAGAGTCATACAAGTATTACCACAATCTAAGTTTAACATTTACATCACCCCTAAAGAAACCTGTACCCATCAGCAGTCCCTCATTCTCTCCCTTCCCTCAGCAACTGCAATCTACGTTCTGTCTCTGGAGAGGTCTGCAGAGATTAGCCTATGTGTGGTCTTTTGTGATTGGCTTCTTTCACTTAACATGATGTTTTCATGCTCCTTCACGTTGTGGCATGTATCAGTATTTCATTCCTTTTTAATTGCCAAATAACATTTTATTACAGTAGACACATATACCACATTTTGGTTATCCATCTCATGGGTAAACATATTAATGGACATTTGGGTAGTTTCTACTTTTTAGTTATTATGAATAATATTGCAATGAGCATTTGTGTCCAAGTTTTACATGGCTATATACTTTTCTTTCTCCTACTATACACCAAGAGTGGAATCGCTAGATCATATGGTTACTCTATGTTTAACAATTCAAGAACTGTCAGACTGTTTTTCAAAGTATCTGTATCATTTTGTGTTCCCACTAGTATAAGGTTTCCAATTTCCTCACTTCTTGGCCAATATTGTTATTGTCTTTTTCATAATAGCCATCCTAATGGGCTTGGAGTGATAGCTAATTGTGGTTTTGATTTGCATTTCCCTGATGACG